GGGTAGGGGGAGGGGGAGGGGAGCAGCAGCCGTTACAATATCTATTTGGGTTACTGGCTGGGATCTGACCACCAGTGGACCGACCGACCAGTCTGGAGCGACCCGGGGGGTGCCGGAGGGGTGGTGGGCAGGACGGCAGAGCACTCGGCAAAACCCTTCCCCCTCTTCCCCCCTTCACGCACGCGCATACACATACATACGTACATACACACGTACACCCAGATCATGTTATTGAAACACACGGACACGCGCATGCATACATACATACGTACATTCCCATTAGATGCTGGTGTCGGGTGCTAGTCTAGGGTGACTGGATGAGGGTGCCCCGAAATACCCGCGGGGAAGGCAGGGTTTCGCCGGGTAGCGGCCGCAGGGTGAAAAGACATGACCCGCCTGTCCCACACATCAAACATTTCGTTCATGCTCATGTTGGGCCGATATCATCATCATGCGCTCCTCTTAGGCGGCTTCCATATCAGCTTCTCTTTCCTTCTACAACCTTCGACGACAGTTACCGTACACACGGCTTGTGTTTTTCGTACTTGATAGCCCCCTCGGCCTCGCCCTCATCCTGCCTTCACATCGAAAGCAATCGCTTTCACCCCTTTTCCCCCACCCTCCCACACTACCTCATCCCCCCCTCGGTCTCCCCACACAAACCCGCACGAACTCCACCGCACCCCACCCCCCCCACCCCCCGAAGACATACGTCATCAAACTTGCTCGTAGCGGCGAGGACGGTGAGAAGGTGTACTTGCTTTTGGAGAGCGGATCTAGATTCCACACGACCAAGGTAGGTGGTGCGTGGGTATGTCTGTATGTTTGTGTTATGACACGTGAAAAGGCGGATCAACCCCCCGTGGGGTTGTGTTGGGGGACGTGTGTGTGTGTGTGGGTTACGGGGTCGTGTGTTGGTGGGGGTGGTGGGGCTTGGGGGATGGGTTGTGTGTGTGTGTGTGTTTGGCACTCGCCGCACGTCGTCCGACACACGGACTTAACGGACGCCGCGACTTCCGTACATTTCAATACACAACACACACCCCTCCCGCTCTTTCTCTCCTCTCTGTCTTTCCGAAGGTCCTTAGAGAGAAATCTTCAGACTTGCCGTCCAACTTCACGCTCAAGCTGCGGAAACATTGCCGTACACGGCGTGTGGAGGCTGTACGGCAATTGGGTGTGGACCGATGCATGGAACTGACCCTGGGTTCGGGTCCCGCGGCGGTCCACCTCATTCTGGAGATGTATGCGCAGGTGCGTGTGTGTGTATGTGTGTATGTGTGTGTGTGTTTTGGTGGCGTGTGATCAGGGGAATGCATGTGAGAGAGAAAAGAGGGTTAAAAGGAGAGGGGCCAGGGGTGTAGTGAGGAGGAGGGGGAATTGAAGAGGGTTTGCAGAACACACACACGTACACATACATACATACATACATACATACATACATACATACATACATACATACATACATACATACACACACACAGGAACCCACCAACTCTCACGGAGCATAGTCCATCAATCACCATCACCTCTGTCAGAGGATGATCTTCCCCATTTGTTTGCACATACAGATACACGTACACATACACACCTCACCCCCCGACCCCGCGCTCCTCCCCCCGGCCTCCGTCTGAGCAGGGCAATGTCGTACTCACGGACTACAAGTACGAGGTTCTCACTCTGCTGCGATCCCATCGCGATGACGCCAAGGGCCTGGTCATCATGGCCCGCCACCCCTACCCCATGTCGGCCATGCGGCTAGCGAGCAAGGTGACGGGAAAGCAGCTGGACGAGGCGGCGGCGGCGGCGGCGGCGGCAGGGGGGGCCCAAGCAAATTACAGAGGTACAAGAGGGGGTCGAGGATTTGAACAAAGAAGCAAAGGGAGCACGTTACTCAGCGATTTAAATTACGACAGGTGTACGGAAGATGAGCGGCCGCTGGCAATTATAAGGGCTGGGGAGTTGGTCAATGGGGGGTTAGGGGTTTGGGGTTTTTTAGCAGCTAAGGGGGTTTCGGAGCGGAGCAGCGGAGGAGAGGGATTCTTTCCTGCTTCCCCCTATCCACAACACATGCACACATACACACCCAACCCGCGCCCCTTCGCGCCTTTTTATTTTCCCTCCTCCCCCCCGTCCCCCCTCCCGTTGGGTTGCTCCCTAATAACCGTGTACTGTCCGTGCCGTAGCGCTGCTCTCCGCCGTACTGCCGTACGGACCCACTATCGCGGAGCACGTGGCCATGGATGCGGGCTTCGATCCCAACGCTGCCGTACCCTTGGTAGCGTCGGAAGGGGCGACGGCGGGCGCCGCAGATGCCGCCACCACCCCTGCTGACGGCGGCGGCGGCGATGGCGCCGCCGTCGTCGTCAGTGGCGTTGGCCTCGGTGACGGCGGCGAGGAAGGGGAGGAAGTGGAGGAGGAGGGAGAAGGAGCTGCTACCGCCGCTACCGCCGCCGCCGCCGCCGCGGCTCCCCCCGGCGGCGGCGGCGCCCTCCCCGCCGATGTACGGCGGTCGTTGCTGGCTGCATTGGGTCGGTTGGACGATTGGTTTGCAGGCATGGAAGCGGGTGAAGTACCCCGCGGTTACATCACCCTAACTCCCCGCGGTGAGTGGAGCCTGGGCCGGGAGTGAGTGTGCATGTATGTATGCATGTATGTATGATGTGTGAAACAGAGGGGTGTATCTTCGCCCGTGGCAGCTACCCTGCGAAACCCTGCCTTCCCCGGTATTTCGGGGCACCCTCACCCAGTCACCCTAGTCAACTTCTCAGTGGATCGCTCAGGTTCCGCACCCACCACCAGCATCCAACGGAATCTGCCGGGTCGACAGCGGCCCAACTCCGTTCCTGGTCGGCTCGCAG